AAAGCATGGACATGGCAAAATATTTGATTGCCTACATTTACATTGTCTCCAAAGGTCGTAGTGATGGAAGTAGATGCTTGTTACAAAATGCTGCTATTAACCATACTGTGCCCACCTAACCAGGTGCTGAGTATTCTCAGGGTTTGCCTCTCTCCTGTCACTGGTTCCAGTCACGTTGAAAGTTCCGCAGCAGCTCATGCTCATGCTGAGGGCAAAAGGTGTGATGTCTCTCTATGCTACATTGCACGTTCCTGAGAAGAGGCAAGAGACCAAGCTGAAGCTATATGGAGATAGTAGCAACAAAGGATCTACCCTCCAAATCACTATTTTGAGAAAGCAATGGTACGAATAAGGCATGAACAACCTTAGAGAATTCAATACAGGCGCAAGGGAAGAAAAGAAGATGGACACAATGTGAGGTCATGAGGTTTCTTGTAAACTCAGCACAGTGGTGAAGTCTGTGCGTACCACTGTGTGTACCTGCTTCCAAACATGGCTATCTGTGTTGCAGAAGAAAAAACACCGCCATAGTTTGATAACATACTGATCTTTAATCTATAAAGAAGATTAAATTCAAAGTTTAACAGTATAAAAGGATAACAAATACTCTTTAAAACAAAAATACAAGATAACACACAATTGCATCTTGGTTCCTCCTGCTGCCAAAGCTGAGAGTACACAATTTCTGGGGTACAATTCCACTGCATACAGTGTTTCCTATCACTTCAGCATATGTTTAACTTGAAATGAAACATTTTTATTTGCAAAAAAGCTTTTTCAGGTACAAGCTCAAGCCAGGGTGCTATTACGATTAGCTAGTCACATGTCAGATCCCACACGTAATTTAAACAAACCAGAATGAAATCACTGCTTGTTGCAACATTCTTGCCCTTTCATGTCAGCTCCTAGATGCCAGCAGTCCATCTACCACTGCGTCGATCAACCCAGCTGCTTGTAACTCACAGTCGTTCAAGAGCTGAACCTTTTTTTACTTGGGTCCCCTGCTCTAAATTCACGTCCGCAAGTTCTTATTCCCCTCAGGCACACACACAAAAAAGCACTGAGGGGAAAAATGACAGAGAAGGTATGAAAACTTGTGATAACTTCTTTCAGATAGCAAAGAAAAAGCCTCAGGCAGGGGCGATGTGAGTAGCCCCTCCTGATGGCAACTGTTCATAATTTGTTCAGCTTTACCTCTAGTGGGCCCTGAGGCAAACTGAAGAGTTGATGGGGGCAGCCAGGTGTAGGGGAAGAAAAGGCTGAACAATCTGTTTGGCCTTCCCTGTCTCTTTATAGTTAGATTTACAATTCTGACCCACATAAACTCTGCTCTTGCTTTGCACTGGCCAGAGAAACATGCTTTTAGGCTCAGGCTGAACCAGACTGCAGTGACATTACAATCCAACTTACTCCTTGTTGGTTTGCTGTATTAATAAACCAAGTGAAAGCAAACAGGGGGAAAAATCCTATCAAAACTTATAATGGAAGGCACCTCAAAAATGGATAAAAGGATACATTTTTCTGCAAGTTTCCCAACTGTAGAATAACTGTTTTGAATCCACTAGTGGTTGCATTCTCCTTGCATGATCTTTGGAAAGCATAATAATAACAATAAACCCAAAATGAAATAAAATATTGCCACCGATGAAAAATCTGTTCACTTAAAAACTGCAAAACCAAGTAAACAGCAATTTACACACTTCCCTCAGTCCTGCAGACCTGAAACATCCAATGCTGCTTGGACAAAATTGAGAATACAGCAGACTTTTCAGCATAACTCTACTTAAATGACAGTATTGATTAAACAAAAACAAGACATACTATTGAAACCAAAATACATAGAATCAGGTTTCTATGCTACTATTTGCCAAAAGGCTATTTTAAAAAAAAAATGGTTTAAATGCAAACTTTTACATCTCCAACACGTTTTACATATTTCAGACAACAAAAGAATACACATACATTGTATGTGATAATTTTTCAAAACTAGCCATTACATTTTCACAGATTAAAAAAAGTCTGTTTAAATATTTCATTTCTACAAAGTGAATTTACATTTTTAAGTACAAAGTGCAAATACTACAGTTGTTTTTATTGCTTTTGGTGAGGAAATCTCCCACATGTCAAAGAGATCTGCCTGGGATCAGTAAGCTGTTCACCCTTGCTTCTTAGAAACTTGCTGAAAGAAAGGAAGTTGGAAAAATTTGCATTATTAGTGATGTTTTCAAGTAATCAAGTATAAGCATTCATCTCTATTTTTCAACAGCGTCCATATGCCACTATCGGAAGAAGAGTTCTTCACAAATATATATGGGCAATAAAAAAAATCCCTGCCCTGTAGTCTTTCATAGCATACATGAACGAGAGTATAAGCAACATCTTTACTATTTCTTACCCATGGCCTCTTTAAATCTATACCCGTCAAACACAGTTTTAGCAACTGCCTGGGCAAGTCCCTGGTGCAATATACCTTTCTATGCCATGTGATGTATAAGGAATGGGCTGCTGGCCAAAGTCTTATGAACAATCTATAGTTTCCTTGTAAACTTTTTCTAGGCCGCAAAAGAGCCCCTGGGTCTCACTGACTATGTGTGTGCATGTATGTGTGTGTTTGTTGGACAGGGTGGAGCTGAGCAAGGGAACTATACCTGGCCACTACCCCAGTTCTGTCAGATCCATCATGTATTTGACCTCTTTTAGAGCAACCACAACTGAGACTCAGTTAGCATATATGTACCTATATCTGCTTTCTTTCAGTAAGCTTGTATGTGCATGCACACATACAGATGTGCACATGCGTAAAAAAAAATTTATTCAAGAATACATGCCTAAGCATATATATACAACTGAACTGCTGCAATAAACTAGTAGAAAATGAGCTCTTGAGTGCCCGTCTCCTGAGAGGCGCAAATCGCTCCTTCTTAGATGGGTGGTTTCCTTTGGCCGCTCCTACCCAGCCCAGTTGCTTTTCAATAACTTCCTTTCCAGTGAAAACTTTTGTGATGAAAGCCATCTTCTGCACTTGCAGCCTTGTATTGTTTGAGTATGAAACTGCCAACAGATGGTTTGCTGAGCCAGCCTTAATTCAAGGCTATCATTTGTCAGCAACAGCTTTTAAAACAATTGGTGCTGAGTCAGCAAAATTATTGGACAAAATTAAAAAACATAGATGCTCTAGGAGACTTTTATTACAGATTCTGCAAGTCAGGATCAGATTACAAGAAAGGGGAGAGGGATTGTCATGCTTCAAGTGTAATGCACGTGTGCCAGTAATTGCCATTATATAATTAAAATAACCCCTTTGAATGTTTTTGCGTTCCGACTGGATAATTGTTTTCAGGCTGCCTTGTTTAAAGCCTAAGTGATTTGTGAGGGGAACTTGAAAAGACCACAAACTTTTGTTTAAACAAACAGAAACTTATCACATCCCTCTAGCTGTGAGAATATTTTATATTCTATCAAAGGTATGTAGGAGGTCTCTGGTAGAACCCACAACCAATGTTGAGCTTGCCTTAGGAAGTGTGAACCTAACATCAAACAAATCAGAGATAAAGCAAGTAACAAATTGACTAGCAACAATGAGAGGAAGATTTCTCTTGGCTTGTGGGGAAGTTCACCCTGGGTTCAGTTTTTAACAAATTGATTTAGCTTTCTGACAGATGGGAAGACATTAACCACAACTATAGGTTTGAGATATTTTTAGCCAAATTCTTATTTTCCCAGCTGCAGGGTTACCTGATCTGGTCCTTTAATATTTTTATATGAATATTTTTAAAAACAATTCATCCTTTACTGATGCTTTTTTGGGCATGAATAATTTAATTCCTCTAATACAAAAGTGAGGCAAGAATGGTATGATGATTCTGTTACTAGACCATTCAAATAACTGGCAGATTCACAAGTCCTTCTTCAGACCCATGCAAAAGTGCTAGGAAGTTGTGCCCATGTTGTCCAGAAAAATGAATCTTTAGGATTAATGATTACAAAAACAGACAGAAATGAGAAACCCTTTTTTAGCCTTTTTCCTGAGCTTCCACTTTAGTCCCTCCTTTTCAATGTGTACCTTTCCTTGATTTAAAAATTCTGCTTTTGTGCCTTTTGTAGCTCTGAATGCCTCGAATAGCCAAAACTCCATGAATGACATACACTGGTGTTATTCTGAGAAACACAATCAAGTCTTTGCAGAAAACTGATGCAAAAACAAATCACGGATTATGTTGTCAGGACGCTTGACATTTTATTTGCTACAATCATTCTGCAGACATAACCAATTTTAGTTTTAACATGCATCAGCAGACTGATGCAAATCCTAGTTCTCCAGCATCACTTTGCTCAGCCAGCAAAGGCATTTTAAGTGACAGTTCCTTTCTCTACACTAAGATTTTAAAAGGTGTTTAAAGCCACCATACAATAATTCAGTGGGGTTTGTGAAATGTTTAGATTTTCATAGGGCATGGGAAATGCATGGCTTTGTTCACAAAGAGTAATTTCAATCAATGTAAGTTTATGTCTATATCGTGACACACAGGAAAGTTAACGGAATTCAGTTAAAGCAAAAGGTAAATGAAGATAAAGCTGTGCGCATTTAAAAGTGTATGGGAATGCTGTCACTCAGGAATGCAGAAGACTCATATGAGGGCTCAGTTACACTCATCTAATTATCACTAACCTATATGCCAATTTACACTTTACTAGGAACATCCATATGCAGGCCTAATCCACTTTGCGTTTCTGCATATTCACTCTGCACCTGCAGTTGACTGATTCAGCTTTCCCTAAGGAAACAGAACTAAGTATAATAAGTATAATATTAGAATAAGCTCTAATCTAAATAGGACTTAAGTCAAAATTTGTTAATTGTGATACTGATCTACATTTTCCTGGCAGGTCTGTAGAATGGCAAATGAATGCGGTTCGAAGCTGCAATGATATCTGCTAAAACCCAAAGAAGTTCAGCTGGGCAAGGCAGGAATGGAGATCTTGCTCTCCTTAGTACTCACCTGCCTGCTGGATGAAGTGCTCTCAGTGTTGGTTTTAGGGGCCGCTAAAGGAGAGAAAAGAAAACATTATAAATATGGTTTGCAAGTTATATGTAGCATCATCAAGAACTGAAGCCCTCCTTCTGAAAGGGTATTTTTTAGAGCAGGGCAACTGCACAGCTTTCAATAAATGAGATAAAATATTTCAGATCTTTCATCGAAATATCCGCTTTTTTCTTTTCACAATATAGGTGTTGCTTCTTTCATGGAGTTATATAAAAGTTGAATGACAACATTTCATGCCAGTTAATATGTGACATTTGCTTAGGACAGATTGCATCTAGTCAACATCGAGCATTTCTAACTTATAGTAGTAATAGTAGTAACTATAGCCTATTATTCCTTGCGGGAAAGAAGCATGGAGAAGCAGACCATGTGGAAAGCATTCACTTTGCTGAAAGATATTGCACAGGAATAGCTCTATGAGCCAAAGACACTGTTCATGTTTAGTCTGTAAAACAATGAGATTATCACTGGTTTTTAAGTTTATTAGTGGCAAAGTCCAAGACAGCGCTCTAAATGGGGGAAAAAAAAAAAACCCTGCTACCCAGCTGGTTCATTCAACTTTACAAGTAAACTTGGGAGGCTAGGAAGGAAGTCGCTCTCTTGGTTTTCCATGTCAGTTTGCTAGTCAATCAAGCTGTACTGGGACAAAGGGGAACAAAACTGGACCTTGAAAAATACTGCAGCAACTAGTATTCCCCTGCAAAACTATGTTTTGCAGCTCTCTGACTTTTATATTGCTTCAAATGGTTCTCACAAGACACCTGGGACTCACGCAGAATGATACAGAGCCACCTCCTTATCTCAGCTCTCACACCTCAGGTGACAGGGTCTCACCTATTCCTAGAAATATAACTCTACCTGTAGTGAAGTGGCGATTGATTTCTTTTGTGCAAGTGAAAGGATTACCAGAAAAGAAATTTTAATTATCAAGCAGGAGAAACAAAACAGAAGTAATTTTTTGTCTTGTCTTTGCATGTATTTCTAGGAAAGCAACAAACTATCTGGTTTAGAATTTTTTTTCAACTGGATGCCATTAGTTTTTCAATGCAAAAGTTCTGAGACACTTTTTCCTTCCAAAAATGAATGTTTGCATTATTGACTATGTTTTTTTGGAGAAGCTCTGTTAAAAATCTCCAGTTATGGTGAACGTAATTTTTACTTTAGCTAAATCTGTGTGTGGTCTTCATATAATTTCATGCATCTTACAACTTTCTTTTCCAAAACAGAAAGTTTATGTTAATCTTTGGGTTTTCTTCACTGGAGTGGGCACAGGAAACACTGGTTTTTGCTTTGAATCTTGCTATAGCTTTTCTTTATGTCCTGGGGCAATGATTTTAGACTCAAATTTCATCTACAATAATAGACCAAGGAGTGCCAGCTGTAGCAGGACAGAAGTATCTTGAAATGGAGGATAACATATGAAGTGACCATAATGGCCTGCACTTTAAAACACTAGTCTGCCAAATAGTGTATATGAAAAAGAAGATGTTACATTTCAGTTTCCACATTTATAGCATAAAGATAACAAGTCATCCATCTTCATTCATTTTTTTACCTCCATCACCTAAGTGAAAATTGCAAGGTATTATTATTAGGTCCACAAAAATCACAGAAAAAAAAATCCTGGATTTGATATATTTGTTTTAAGAGATCTGTTTCTGTGAGCCATAGACAATTTACTCTCTTAGTAGAATGTAGACTGATTTCATCTTTTTGCAGTATTCCCTTTCTAGACTTGAATATAACCAATTTTGTGGAAACCATTTTATTTCTGACTGCATTTCCCACTTGACTTGCTTTTCATTTCCCATGACACCTTTATTTTACTGCCCTGGCTTCATTTTAAGGTCCAAGACAAACAAAACAATTTGCCTATATTCATGTTCTATAACTTCTTACAGTATGGGGATCTACTGTTGTTGTTTACAACTTCTTTTTTCTTTTTTTTCAAGTCTTCCTCATTTTCAGGAATCATGTGATTGAACTCTGCAGGGACCATTATACACTGTACTTAGTTGTTCCCCTTTCTACCAGTTTGGCAGCAAGGTAAAGTAGCAGTGTACCAGCAGTTGTTCCACCTGTTTGGCAGATGACCACATTCCTCTCTGTATCTCTAAACCACATTTGAGAAATGAGAAGCCATTAGAAAGTTC